GGGTTTCTGTGTTATAGCTCTGGCTGTCCTGGAACTCACTTTGTAGACAAGACTGGCCTTGAACTCACCAAGATCCACCTGGCTCTGCTTCCAGAGTGCTGGGATTAAAGTTGTGTATCAACACTGTCCAACTTATTTCAATTTTTTTAAAATTCAGAATTTTCTGCCAAAGTCAATTGTCTGCCTTGTTTAGGTTTTTATTGCTATAAAGAGACACCATGACCATGGCAACACTTATGAACGAAAAAGTTTAATTGAGGCACTTACTTACAGTTTCAGAGTTCAGTTCATTATCATCATGGTGGGGAGTACATTGGTATTCAGGCAGATGTGGTGCTGGAGCTGAGAGTCCTACATCTTGACTCAGAGGCAACAGGAAGTGGACTGACTCACTGGGAGGGATTCTGAGCATAGGAAACCTCAAAGCCCAACCTCACAGTGACACATTTCTTCCAACAAGGCCATATCCACTCCAACAAAGCCACACCTCCTAATAGTGCCATTCCCTATGAGTTTATGGGGGCCAAATACATTCAAACTACCACACTATCATATAATGAATTTTCCATAAAATATTTTTAGCAGTCTATCATCTCAAAAAAGAAAAGAAGAAAAAAGTAAAGAAAAGAAAAGAAAGGGTTCTAGAATTGCCAAAATATCTCTTAGTCTGCTGGCTACACACAGAAGAAACTTAGAGGAATAAATTTAATCAGTTCCAGATAGCCATGGCCAATTGTTAAATATTATCAATTCTGTAACCGCGCAAGCAGAGTGTAATGAATATGCACGCACGGTGGGGGGGGGGGAACTCCTGAAAAAATAACAGTACTCACTGGGGAACCAAGGAGATTGTTTTCACTATGATTGATGCAAAGTATCCACAACAGAAACCTAGAGACCATAACTGGTGCAGGAGATTGACTGACATGGAATGTGGTCCTAAGGATGAAAAGCACAGGTCCCTCACACCCCAAACCTGATGAGCACATGTGGAGAACAACTGGCTGGCTTTAGGTTACTCTGAATTGTATGGAATATCAGCTTTCTGGCTATGCCTACCACAGAATGGTTCTATCTTAGGAAGTAGGAACTCTGACTCAAGTTACTCTACCTTGAGTTGTGCCATGAAGAAATGACTCTGCACCTTACTGATACAAGTGACCAACCACCTGAAAGCACACCAGGGGACACAACGTGATAATTCATTTGTACCAAAACGACACCTGAAAATCTATCATGTCAGACACATGAGCTTACCAGTTGTGCAAGATGGGACCACTTCCCCTGGGACCATAAAAGGACCATCCCAAGACCAAAATGCGGCAGACATACTCACTAGCCACCTTGTCACTCATCATGTGCCTCATTCTCAGGAAAATCACCACAATGAAAAACACCTGCCTCTAGCACCCGACTCTAGGTTGGGTGAAGTTTCTCTTTTCCTTGGCACAGCTCACTGCAGGCTGACCCTTGGGTGAGTTGCCATCTGGACTTGCATTTGACAACTGTCTTGGGGTTGTGGTGGGAGCCATGAATCTGGGATCAGTGCAGGAGTGTAGAGCAGATGGCTCATTGTATGGTAGAGTCCTATTGAGCTCCCTGCTGTATGACAAAGATTCTGCAAGAAAATTCCACTCTATCTCCTGTGATTCCCCAGAATGATGTCTGGTTCTGGGTCTCCCCTTTCTTGGTCTTGTTGCTGTTGCTACCCAGGGTGATTTGGGCACAGGAGAATAATGAGAGGATGGTACAGGGAAATGGAAAACAATTCCCCTGGAGAATGTGTGAAAAGATGAAACTCATGGGGAATATTATGAGAATAGACAAAAGTTCCTATGTTTCTTTCAGGCCTACTCAACATAATTTCATGACTACTGGAACTGCTGTAGAAGAAATTACTTTATCTGAAACCACTAAAGAATACTTAATGTGTCTTGTTGATTGTATTTTGAGAGGCACTGATCCCAGGAAATATTTTACAGGTAATATTAGAACTTACTGTATAATGGCTATAAGGAACTGGAGAACATCTAACTACTCAGAACAAAGCTTAAAGTCTACATTTGTGCCTAAAATAGTTGGCATAAGATCAAAAAGACACGATGAAGGTGTACTTATAATTAAACCTAGAAAACTTAATGATTATTATGCTACATGGTGCATACATCAGGCTTTTTGAAGAATGAAAGTAACGTTTAGATTTGTTTCTTAAGACTCAATGTCTGGTACCTTGTAACCACAAAGGATGACCAGCCAGAATATTTTAGTTTGTATAAAAATACTTAGTCACTTGCTAACCTCTGGGGCCAGCTGTTTCCTGCCTGACCTGCTGGGAGGGGTGGTGCTCTTGAAGTATAGAATTGATGACCTCTGAATAACCTTTTTTCCCCTGACATGGAAGGAAGAAGTGGGTAGAAGCTTGGGGAACATTGCAATGTAATCTTGAAGGTTCTTGAAAATTGATTATGTAAAACTCATGTTTCACATGCCCTACTGCACATAATGGTTTCATTAGAATGATAAATAAAAAAAGGTCATCTCTTAGCCATAGAGAGTGAGTGTTTGTCTCCATATTTCTCATGCCAACTCCATACCTCCTCCTCAGGACCTGAACCCCACTGGAGCTGGACTCTGGCAGGGTTTTATTGCTGTGAAGAGACACCATGACCACAGCAACTCTTACAAAGGAAAACATTTAATTGGGGCTGGCTTACAGTTCAGAGATTTAGTCCATTACCATCATGGTGGGTGGTACAGTGGTGTACAGGCAGACATGGTGCTAGAGTAGGAGCTGAGTGTTCTACATCTGGATCCATAGGCAGCAAAAAGTGACAGCCACACTAGGAATAGCTTGAGTCTCTGAGATCACACAGCCCACCCCCAGTGACCACTTCCTCCAACAAAGGCACACCTAATAGTGCCACTCCTTATAAACCTATGGAGGCCAGCTATTTTCTTTCAAACCACCACCACATCTCTACTCCTGAACAGCTCTATACCTGTAGTTTGTAGTGTTTTCCTGGTCTCTCTAGACTCTTCCACAGGCCTTTGTCAGCTGTGTCTGGACTTCAGCACAGCCACATTGAACTCTGAAAAATCCAAAACCCAGACATTTTGTAACCTGCACATTTGCACATTACCGTGACATACTAACGTGCAATAGAAGACTTCATATTGGTAATTAAGATTGGAATAAAAGAACCTGTGATAGTCAGCAAACAGCTATCAAGCAAAATTGGGATTACTTGACTGTTGGAGCCCACCTAGGTTTCCTAGTGGCTTTTCCCAGCAGGACTGCATTAAGAGGTTGATTGGACCATGGGCCTGACTACCAGGTGTTTGTAAGGGTCTACACTTGGCTGTATCTAGAAAGGGGGAAGGCTTTTGCCCCTCCTCTTGGCATTGTTATTAAAAGCCCTTTGGAATAAAGTTCTGGGCTAGTGGATAAGGATCCAGGCCCTCCCGAGGCTATCGTGCATTTCTACCTGTTTTTCTCCCCTCTTTATTTCTACCTAAGTTTCTTATCCCTCATTCCTCAAGAGTCCCTGGGGTAAATCAATGTGGGATCTGGTCTCCCATAGATTGTGCCAGTGAACAGGGACAAAGACAAAGGCAAAAAAGACAAAAAAACCCAAGGACTTGGCCAAAGGAATGAGGGGGCATCATGAGTGAGAGGCATGCCAATAAGGAATTGAAATATGAAGGTGATGGTATGTTATTCTCAGGTGTGTAGGTTAGGCGGTGACATGCCACAAGGCTGCAACATAGCTTTCTTTCTATCTAGGTTTTTTTTCTCTCTCTCTCTTAATTTCTAATCGATAAAAACAAGGAAAAAATGCAAAGTAGAATATAGGAAAATAGTGTAGGAAGAAATTTAGATTAAGGTAGTATACAGAAATATTGGGTTAGAAGAAAGAAAAAACTTAAAGTAAGATAAGATAAGCAACTAGACAAACTATGCCCCTAATTTTCTAACTATGAGGATATGAATGCAAAGTCCTGAGGAAGAATCAGAGGAAATATCTATCAAAGAGCTTAACAGGAAGAAAAAGATTCCTGTGGGAAGCTTTTGGTCCCAATTGGCAGAGGAAAGAATTTTCCCTGAGGCAAATTAGGGTGAAATAAAACTTTCACTCTGCTGGCACTGCCACTGTATGGAAACATCATATCAACAGAATTAGTTTCCTTCTAGCCATGAAGCCAAAGTTCAGAGAACAGAAGTTTTGGGGAAAACTTGGTGGTCTTTCACTCTCAAAAACTTAAAGTTTTCTGGGGAAAAACTTAAACTCTCTCTGAAAAACTAAAAAGCCTTTCAGGTCTTTGCTTCTCAGAGATTCTCTTTCTGTAAGGACATAATTAGATTCACCTGGAGACATCAGTATGGGAGAATCACCTGTAATGGCTTTAGAAACAACAAACGTCTTAGAATATGGCAAATCCTCTCTGCTAAGTCCTGTCTCTCTAAGCTAGAGAAAAACAGCAGCCAGAAGTTCCCTACAGTTAGAGCCTAGCAAGCAAGTGCAGGCAGAAAGCTGAAGCAGGGACAGCCTCCCCCACGGTGAAGACACAACAGAGGTGGTACGAGACCTGGGGATTAAAGGCGTGCGCCACCACCGCCCGGCGTGAAGCATTTTTTCCTCTGGTAATAAGCCACTGTCTGAGTGTGCACAGGCAGATGGACACAACTCACTCAGGGACAGGGTCAGGTGAAAGGTCTGATTAGGGAAGTACACCTGTCCTAATGCAAGCTTAGGGAGAGATCTTTTGTCCCTCCCCTTGGCATTGTTATAAAAAGGCCTTTGGAATAAAGTTCTGGTCTGGTGAATAAAGATCCAGGCCCACCAGAGGTTATCCTGCATTGAACATTTTATTGAGCATTTCTGTTTCTCTCCCCTCTTTATTTCTACCTAAGTCTCTTATCCCTCATTCTTCAAGAGTCCCTGGGTTAAATAAATGTAGGAACTGGTTGCCCACACTTGACAAACTGTAACCAGCAAGACTGACAGCAGTTGTAAATTTATTGCTCATTCAATAACTCCTGACATTGTGGAAACACACACAACCACATTGTACACACATGACCACACAGCACCATGTAAAATACACAAATGTATCTATGTTTCTATACAACACAAGCATAATCATACAGTATCTTGCAAGGTGATTGTTACCCATGGTGGTTTGAAAGAAAATGACCACCATCAACTCATAGGGAATGGCACTATTGGGTCTTGCTGGAGTGGGTGTAGTTTTGTTGGAAGAAGTGTGTCACTAGGGGGTCGGCTTTGAGGTCTCAAGTGCTTAAGCAAGCTCTCCCCAATGCCTGTGTATTTGGATGTAGGACTATCAGCCCCTTCTCCAGCACCAGGTCTGCCTGCATACTACCATGCTTCTCACCATGATGGTAATGGACTGAAACTCTGAAACTGTAAGCCAGCCCCAATTAAATGTTTTCCTTTATAAGAGTTGCTGTGGTTATGGTGTCTCTTCACAGCAATAGAAACCCTAAGACATTACCCATTACTGAATTTTCTACTAGACAACTCTCTTCACCACAATGAACTAGAATCAGAGCAACCTATCCCAAAAAGATCATTCATATGAAGGTATCATTCAAGATAGGCATTAACAAAATGGAGGTAAATTTTTGAGATGGCATTGTAACAATATACTTTAGAATCCAGTAAAATACCAAATTCAAATAACTCTAGAAAAAAATAAATGGAGGAAAATTGTGTATATTTGTGATCTTGAAGAAATATTTCTCTCTTTAGACATTACAATTATCATCATCAGGGCTAGAGAGATGGCTCAGCAATTAAGAACACATGCTGTATTTTCTTACATTAGACTCAAATTCAGTCTCCATCACCCACATGGTGACTCACAACTGTCCTAACTCCAGTTCCAGGGGCATCTGGCACCCTCTTCTGGCACCCTGAGACACCAGGGCACACAGAAAGTGCACATGCAGGCAAGACACTCATATACATAAAATAAAATGTCTGAAAACATGCAGGCAAGACATTCATATACATAAAATAAGTATATCTTAAAATATGAAACTATCTCCTATTAATTTTCATTTACTGCTGATGCCATCTTTATACTGGTTTAGGGTTTCTTCTGTAGCTTCTTGACTTGAATGCTTAACTTTTTCCAACTTTGTCAATTACTCATATGCCAGGGACAGTGCTTATATTTGGGGTTAAAATGGCAACAAAAACAAGGGTCCATTCAAAATAGTCTTGTTCCCTGCTTTCATTGAATGGTATTAATTTTGTACCATCAGTTACACCACACAACTTGAATTCTGTTGACATTATTATGTTCTTCACTCAGCATTTTGGTTTTTACTTACATTTGACCCAGTATTTAAGTAACCATAACTATAAAAATTTGAATGTAATAGTATCTCCATGTAGATTACATATCCACAACAAGCTAGACCTTTTAGTGAACCTCTGGCAGCCACCGCCTTAACCAAATGAACAAGTTTAATTTCTTAAATAATGTGGTAGCTGCCATGTAAGCACTTCTGGATATGTTAAAAGATACACAATCTTTAATGTATTCTTATCCAAAATGAGTCATCTGAACCTTAATTTCCTTAGATAGAAGGCAACAGTGGCTAAAGGCTTGTAATGTAGTTTGGTGACTGAGCGCCTATCTGCCACACACAAGGACCTAGCTTCAATCAACACTGAAAATTGAATAAAGGACAGAGCAAGGCCTAATCTTTATCTATATTGGATTCTCCTTAGGATACATAAATTTGTAAAAGCACAGTTTGAAAGCCAATGACGAATTTCTGAGTTTCTTAAAACTCTGGGTCATTTGCTGGGCATAATAGTCTCCGCTGATATCTGTGGTCTCTTAGAGTCTGCAGGACAACTGCACAGACCCTTCTAGCTTGTATTAGTCTCCAGTAAAAGGTAAGGTGTAATTCTAATAGGCCTACCTTTACATGTTACTTGTTCTTTCTCCCTTCAGCTTTTAATATTTTCTTCTGTATGTTTTGGTTTTGATTATTATGTGACAAGGGAACTTCCTTTTCAGACCCAAGCCATTTGGTGTTCTGTATGCTTCTTGTGCTTTTATAGTCATCTCCCTCTTTAGGTTAGGAAAGTTTTCTTCTACAATTTTCTTGAAAATATTTTCTAGGCCTTTGAGTTGGGGTTCTTCTCCTTCTATTTCTATTATTCTTAGATTTGGTTTTTTCATTGTCCCAGACTTCCTGGATTTTTGTTTCAGGAACTTTTTATAGGTAAACTTTCTTTGAGCAATGTATCTATTTCTTCTATCATATTTCAATGCCTGAGATTCTCTCTTCCATCTCTTGTATTTTGTTGGTGATGATTACAACTGTAGTTCCAGTTCATTTAGCTAGATTTTCAATTTTCAGAATTCCTTCAGTTTTGTTTTCTTTATTGCTATTTCTTTTTTCAGGTCTTAAAAAGTTTTTGTTTGTTTGTTGGGTTCAACTGTTTTTCTTAGCTTTCTTGAAGGGATTTATTCATTTCCTCCAATTATCTGTGTCTTTTCCTTGATTTCTTTGAGGAATTTATTCACTTCTTTTAGAACCTCTATCTTCATGAAGTTGGATTTGAGTCCTTTTTCTCATGTTTCAAATGTGTTGGAATATTCAGTGCCTACTGTATTAGGATGGCTGGGCTCTGATGGTGACACTGACCCAGTTGCTGATTGTGTTCTTATGCTGGCATCTAAGCATCTGAGTTTGGTGTGATTATAGATCTAGGTGCCAAGTTCTGGGTTTGTCTTTGTTGGATGGGTGTTTTGTTCTTTGGTTTGTTTCCTCTCTAGTCGTCTGGTTGCTAATATGGTTTCTTGTTGAGCAAGAGGTCTTGGGCCCAAGTTGGGGACTGGGACACAGTGATGAGGGGAAGGGGTTTGGGGATTGTGAGGGGGAGGAACCAAGAGTCTAGGAATTCTGCAGGCAGGGAAAGCTACCTGGAGTTCTGGAAGCCTACGTGGCCTCTGACCCAGCACCAGTCTCTGCCCCAGTTGGAGGCTAGTACACAGAGACAAGGGAGGGAGAATTGGGGGCCAGTGTTTAGGGTAGGGCACCAAGAGAATGTAGGTCAGTGGGTGGATTGCCTAGATGGAGTTCTGGTAGTGTATCCTATGGTCCATGCAGGAAGTCTCCACCTGAGCTGGAAGCTGGGATATGGCAACAAGGAGGGGAAGGGGTTGAGGGTTGGGTCCTAGGTGGGTTCACTGAGAGTGGATGTCCATGGGTGGGCAGCCACCTGATCTTCTGGGAGATATGGCCTGTGCTTAGACGGGGGTGTCTGCCAGAGTTGGGAGCTAGGACACAGCAATGAGGGTTGAGGGACAACTGAGGATTGATATGTTGGGTGCTAGAGAGTGAGAAAGGTCTTCTGGCAGGCATTACCTGTGGTTGGGCAGATGTCTACCCAAGGAGACTGAGAAAGTGAGGAAGATCCATGGGGTGGCTGGCCTACCTGGTCTTTGGGCAAGCACAGCCTGGGGTTGGGGCAGGGGGTGGGGTGGGGAGTGTCTACCCAAAAAAGAGTGTCTGGGTCATTTCTTTAATAATATGGTTCTGTAGCAGAGATGACACTCCATCTTAGCTGCTGTGGTAAATTATAAAATGGAAAGTCTAAAACTTTGTTTTTTAAAAAAGGGTCTCTAGACAGCCAAAGTTGGACTTGAAGTCACAATGTAGCTAAACTTGCGTCCAACTCTTGATTGTCCTGCCTCAGCATTCCTAGTACTGGGATTCAGACATATACTATCACACACATCTAACTCTAAAGCATATTCTTTTTTTTTTTAATTCAGAAAGGGTTTCTCTGTGTACCCACCCTAGCCCTCTGGAACTAGCTATGTACATCACTCTGGCCTTGAACTTATAGAGATCCACCTGTCTCTGCCTCCTGAGTGCTGGTTAGATTAAAGGTATGTACCACCACCATCAGGTTTTAAAAGGTATTCTTAATGGTACAGCCCCAAATACCCATATACACAGAAAAACAGAATCAACATAGTAAACTGTTGACAATTTTGAATCTAGGTGGGACATAGAAGTCTGTTGTTGATTCTTCCAACTTTTCCATATATATAAAAAAATTTCACACATGTACTTTTATAAGTAGTTTCAATTTTGGCTATTTCTGTTAATGTTTTCCCGGAAGGTCACCAGAGAAGACTATTCAGACAAGAGTTTATAGCCGACTGAAAGTCGTTATTCCAGTTTGCTGGAACATCACTCAGGTATTTGGGATCGAAGTGTAGCCCCAAGCATTCAGAGCAAAGGGCTATTAAAAGAAAAAAACTACATCCTGTTATCTTGCTCAGCTGCTGGAAAGGGAGCTTTTGCCCAAGCACACAGTTAAACAGAAGCCAGGATAAAGTAGCCAGATGATCTTGATCTCTGGCTCCTAGACTATAGCTGGGGAATATTTCCCAAGATTCTCCATCATAAGTCAAATTCTGCTCAAACTTTAAATGGCCTCAGCAAGAATATGAGATGGAGGAGCCTCTGTACTGTCTTGCCCTGTCACAAATGTATAGCTTATCTTAATATCTGGGCAGAGAGCATACATTATAGGGTTTTACCTTTTGAAATTTCTGTGTTTAACCCCTTTAAAAAAAGTACTTATTCATTAACAGTTGTGTATTTAACAACTTCACACAAATACTTAAAGAATGGATTCTCAATGAAAGTCCTTTCATGTACCTTTTCATGCATTAGATGTATACAGAACGAAGTTATTTTAAATTTATAGTGGAGAAATGCATGAGGATTTTCTAAGGTATCTGCAGTATGATTTGATTTTCATATCAGTTACAGTAATGCCTATAAAAGCGAGAACACTTTAAAAGCTACTTTACAGAATGAGGGCATGAAGCAAATACTCTTTCAAGGATTTTATATCAATTAAAACCTTGTCCCCATGACTTTGGCAGATATTGTGCTGGCCATTAACAGAAGCCATAGGATGTTAATAGTGACAAGGAAGATGCTACAAATAAACCTAGTTCCAATAACTGCTCTCCCTAAGTTGGCTGAGAAGTGATTGATATATTAAGTTTATAAAATTAACAAGATGAAAGTAAATCAAGAACATGATGTCTTCCCTATTATTTCTGACATTCAAAGACATTCTCAACAGAATACCTCCTTGGAACAACATACTTCCCACACTCTGATTCTCTAAGGGATCTTGGCATCAAGAATATATGAATACTCTGATGTTGACCAAATCTTAGGGCAGATTATTCTTCCCACATTCTTTTCAGGAACAGTCTTGACCATGAGTCCTCTGATGTTCAGTAAAACTTCCATACAAGGCTTGTCTACCTTCTTACACGCATAGAACTGATGATTATGGATTTTCAATGTCTTGTAAGCTTACCATTTACAATAAAGGCTTTCTCACATTCTTTACATTCACAGAGTTTCAAGCCTACTGGGCTCTGATGGGATTTAGGAGCTGAGCTAATTCAATAAACGTTCCTACATTCCTTGCATTCATAGGGTTTCACACCAGCATGGTTTCCTTTATGTTAAGGACTGAGCTCTACTTAAAGGTCTTTCCACATTCTTTATAGTGTTAGGGCTTCATGCCAGTATGTCTTCTCTGCTGTGCAGTGAAGGCTGAACTAAATCTAAACATTTTCCCACATTTCTGACTTTCATAGGATTTCTCACCATTATGAATTCTGATATACAGGTAGCTCAGAATTACTGCTCAAGGCTTTTCCACATTCCTTGCATCTATAAGGCTTCTTTCCAATATGAATCTTATGTGTCAAACAAACTTTCATTTTCGACTGAAGGGCTTCCAACCAAATTCTTAACATTGGTAAAGTTTCTTCTCACTAGTGTGAATTCCTTGATGTGCTTTAAGGTATCTATCACAAGTAAGGTACTTCCCACATTCTTTACATTTATAAGGATCTTTACCAGTATGAAATTGGTAATAATATCAAAAGGGTCCCCCACATTCCTTGCATTAAAAGAGCTTCTCACAAGTATGAATTAGCTGATGTTGAGTAAGCTGGTACTGAGGTGTGAAGGCTGACCCACAGTGCTCACATTAAAATTTCTCTCCAGTATGAATGCTCTGGTGCTGAGTGAGCTTTGCCAGAACAATGAAGGCCTTTCCACATTCCTTACACTGAAAGGGTCTCAAACCAGAATGAATTTTCTGATGTTGACTAAGGTTTGATCAATGATTAAAGGTTTTCCCACACTGACTACATTCATATAATTTTACACCAGTATGACTAATCCTATGTTCAACAAGGCTGGAGACTCGATTGAAGGACTTCCCACATTCCTCACATTCAAATGGTTTTTTGACCTGTATGAAGAATGTTTTTGTGGTAGTTAAACTGGCTGGGAAGATGAAAAGCCTTTCCACATTCTTTACATTCAAAGGGTCTTTCACCACCATGAAATCTCTGATGGCGAATGAGATGTATATTAACCCTAAAGACTTTCCCACATTCCTTACAAATAAAGGGTTTTTTTTCCAGTGTGAATATTCTGATGCCCAGTTAAATTTGAACGTCGACTAAAGTATTTCCCACATTCCTTGCATTGATATGGTTTCTCATCAGTATGGATTCTCTGATGTTCACTAAGTTGGGACTTTTGTCTGAAGGTTGACCCACACAGCTTGCACTTGAAAGGTTTCTCATCAGTGTGAATTTTCTGATGCTCAGAAAGGTATGCCTGAAGCCTAAAAGTCTTCCCACATACATTACATTCAAGGGGTTTCTCACCAGTATGAATTTTCTGGTGCTGCAAAAGCAATGAACCACAACTGAGTATCTTCCCACACTGCTGATTCAATGATTTCTCTCCAGTATGAATGTCCTGGTGCTTAGTGAGCTCTGCAAGAACAGTGAAGGCCTTTCCACACTCCTTACACTGAAAGGGTCTCTCATCAGAATGAATTTTCTGATGTTGCAAGAAGTTTGAGCGACGTTTAAAGGCTTTTCCACACTCATTACACTCATATGGTTTCACACCAGCATGAATAATCCTATGTTCAACAAGGTGGGAGACTCGCTTAAAGGACTTCCCACATTTCTCACATTCAAAAGGTCTCTCACCACTATGAGATTTCTGATGTCCTTTTAGTTGGTGGGGAAGTCTGAAGGCTTTCCCACATTTCTCACATTCAAAAGGTTTCTCACCACTGTGAGACTTCTGATGTCTTCTAAGCTGTTGTTGGAGTCTGAAGGCTTTCCCACATTCCTTACATTCATAGGGTTTCACACCAGCATGAACACTCCTATGTTCAACAAGGCGGGAGACTAGCTTGAAGGACTTCCCACATTCCTCACATTCAAATGGTTTTATATTTGTATGCATGGTTTTGTGGTACTTAAGCAGGCTGGGAAGATGAAAAGCCTTTCCACATTCATCACATTCAAAAGGTCTCTCAGCACTGTGAGACTTCTGATGTCTTCTAAGCTGTTGCAGGAGTCTGAAGGCTTTCCCACATTCCTTACATTCATAGGGTTTCACACCAGCATGAACACTCCTATGTTCAACAAGGTGGGAGACTAGCTTGAAGGACTTCCCACATTCCTCACATTCAAATGGTTTTACACTTGAATGAATGGTTTTGTGGTACTTAAGCATGCTGGGAAGTTGAAAAGCCTTTCCACATTCATCACATTCAAAAGGTCTCTCAGCACTGTGAGACTTCTGATGTCTTCTAAGCTGTTGCTGGAGTCTGAAGGCTTTCCCACATTCCTTACATTCATGGGGTTTCTTTACAGTATGAATACTTTGATGCTGAATAAGATCTGAACTACAACCAAAGTGTTTCCCACACTCAGTACATTCATATGTTTTTTTTGTATTATGAGTAGGAGTCTGGCAGGTGTCAGTAGGTAGTTTTTCCTTGTTTGTAATCTTTTGATTAGCATCTCCTTCTTGATTACTCTGTAGTGCCTTGGATGTAATACAGTTGGGGCCATTTCTAAAACTGGAGCCCTGGAGGTCAAAAGTTTTACTTATATGCTTTACGCTCTCTTTGGGTAAATTTATATTAGAAATACGATTGTCTGGAGATGTTTTTTGAACTTTATAATCTGACTCCAAATCTGAAAGAAACAGAGAAAGGAAGACTTTTATTTTCCTGTAAAACACACACACACACACACAACATCCATTAAATGAATGGCCAGACTCTAAAGGATTTTATGAGAAGCTGAACAGGATGGAAATGGGGAGGTACATCTGCTTTACAAGATTAAAACAAACCATACTGAAAAAAATCTGATGTGCTTCTTTACATATTATTTAAAATACATACCCAATGGTGAAAGTTTTTTAACCAAATCTGAGAAAAAAGATCTATACTATACAAATACATAATTTATCTGTCATCCTTTAAGGAAACTGGCCTGGAGAGGCAGTAGTTGGCACATCTTTAATCTCAGCACTCAGGAGGCAGAGGAAGGAGGATCTCTAATGTTCAGACAGAAGCTTCACCTCAGCCCTTCCTTCCCCATCTCTGTTTTTTCAAACCCTGCTGTCTCAGAAAACCAGCCAAAAGGCCTCTCATCTCCCAGAAATGCTCAAGATCACACCTACAGGGTTTTTAAACTGCCCCTTAGAGAATGGCCATGTGGTTTTTAGGTCTCTTCTCCCGTCTCCTCTCTGGAGGCTGAAACAATCATCCAGGAGCATTTTACTCATTAAACCTGGACTTTTAATTCTTAATTCAGTTTGATTTGGTTTGATCTGGATTACTGTGTCAGTGGAGAAGCTTAATATCAGGGTACAGAAACCTTTCATCTAAGTTCAAGGCTAGCCTGATCTACAGAGTTCCAGAACAGCCAGAGTTGCACTGAGAAATCCTGTCTCAAAAAAACAAAAAAGAAAAAGAAAACTGGCCTGGATTTGGAATTCTGAAAAAAAAAGGGGGGGGGGGGTGGGTAAGGGGGCAAAAAATCTTTGGTAGTGATAGTATACAAATGTAATCCCAGAAACAAAAAGCCAGAGGTAACAACTTCATGAGTTCCAGGCAAGCTGGGACTAGACAATGAGACCCTGTCTGAAAAAAATAAGAACAAGCTAAAAAAGAAAACAGAAAGAAAGCGGGGAAAATACATCAGAATTTTACAGAAAACTAAGGATCTCTGGCCAGGGAAACAGGTATGCTCATTGCAGATCTTTACCTATTCCCCCGTCACCTCCAAATCCATTCCCCTAGTCTCATGCCTAGATCTGCAGCAAACTACCTGCTACAGCCTGCCCTTCATCCTTGCTCCCATCTCTAGATGATCACACAGATTCATACCTCCAAACTTCCTTTTCTCCATTCACTGCTTTATCCCAACCCACAACTGGAACAGAGATTCCCTGGAAACCCAAAAGGCACTCTAGTCAGTGAAACAGGTAGACTAACTGCAGATCTTCACCTCTCCCTCCATTCCTTCAATCCCCAGTCCCATCCCCAGCTCTGTAGCAGACCATCCGCTGTGGCCTCTCCACTTTCTGACCTCATTCCTAGGGCACTAAGCAGATCCTAGTGGAGCACCTTAGTTCTCTTCTCCTGTGTGTTAGGTTTCAAACATATCAAAATGGACCTGGCCACCAGGTTCTGCCTTTATGAATATGATACACTTTAAAGAGGAAATGAAAAAAATCCCTTAAAGAAATATATGAAAACACAAACAAATTATGGAAGGAAATGAACAAAACAGATCAAAACCTGGAAGTAGAAATAGAATCAATTAAGAAAACCCAAACTGAGGGAAACCTGGAAATAAAATTCTCTGGATTTCCTTGGTGTCTATTATGTCCTCCTTTCCATCTCTAATTTTGTTAATTTGGATCTTCTCTTTGCCTTTCAGTTACTTTGGTTAAGGGTTGGTAAACCTTACTGATTTTCTCAAAGAACCAATATGTATTTCCTTTGTTGTTTCTATTTTATTGATTTTAAACCTGAGTTTAATTATTTCTGCTATCTGCTCCTTTTTGGCATAATTTTTTGCTTTCTTTTTCTATTTTTGCTTCTAGGGCTTTCAGTCATGGTATTACATTGCTAGTATGAGCTCTCTCCAATTATTTTTTTATGTAGGTACATAGTGCTATGAATTTGCCTCTTAGAACTTCAGGAGGTATCAACATCCCCAATCTCAAGTTGTACTATTGAGATATAGTAATGAAAATAGCATGGTATTGACACAAAAACTGACACATTGATCAAGAGAATCAAATTGAAGACCTAGACACAAATTCACACACCTATGGACACCTGATTGTTGAGAAAGTAGCCAGAAATACGAACTTGAAAAGAGAAAACATCTTGAACAAGTGCTGGTCAAACTGGACACCTGCAAGTACAAGAATTCAAATAGATCCATACCTACCAAGCTGCATAAAGCTTCAAGTGGAACAAAGACCTTACTATAAAACCACATACACTGAACCTGACAGAAAAGAAAGTGGGGGATGGCCTTGAACTCATTAGCACAGGAAAAGACTTTCTGAACAGAACACTATTAGCACAGGTATAGAGATTTATTAATTAATAACAATTAATAAATGGGACTTTATGAAAGTGAAAAGTTTCTGCACATCAAAGGACACTGTCATTCACACAAAGTGGCAGCCTACAAAATGGGAAAAGATTTTACCAATTTACCAATTGACGGCTAATAACCAAAATATAAAAAGAACTCAAAAAACTAAGATCAAGTAAATAACCCAATTAGAAAGTGGAGTACAGATCTAAACAGAATTCTCAAAAGAAAATTCAAATGGCTGAAAAACACTTAAAGAAATGTTCAATATCCTTAGCCATCAGGGAAATGTAAATCAAAACTACTTTGAGCTTCCATCTTACACCCATCAGAATGGTAATTCATAAAACAAGTGACCGTTCATGCTTGCAAGTATGTAGACTAATGGGAACACTCGTCCACTGTTGGTGGGTGTGCAAACTGGTACAGCTACTGTGGAAATCCTTGTGATGATTCCTCAGGAAGGTGAGATTCAATCTACCTCAAGAAGCAACTATACCACTCTTGAACATATACCCAAAGGATCCTTCATCCTACCAGAGACACTTGATTAAACATGTTCATTGATGCTCTAGTCATAATAGTCAGGAATTGGAAATAAGATAGATGTCCCTTAACAGAAGAATGCATAACGAAAATGTGGTACAAGGAGTATTACTCACCTGTTAAAAAATCATTTGAGCCAGGCAGTGGTGGCGTATGCCTTTAATACCAGCACTCGGGAGGCAGAGCCAGACAGATCTCTGTGAGTTTGAGGCCAACCTGGTCTACAGAGCAAGATCCAGGACAGGCACACAAAAAAATTGAAGTCATGAACTTTGTAGGTAAATGATGGAACCAGAAAGTTATCAGAGTAAAGTATTCTAGACCCATAAAGATAAATATGGTATGTAATCACATATATAAACATACTAGCTGTTAAATCAACGATAACCAACAACCTGTAGACCACAGAGGTTAGGTATAAAGTAAGAAACTAGGGGTCACATAGATCTTGTTAGGAAAGAGAAATACAATAGCTTTGGTTGGATAGGGGGACTAGAATGAGAAGTTGGGAAGTGTAGCTGGAGTTATTCTGTGTCCCCCCGGCTTCTACTGCTCAGACCCAAACAAACACACAGACGCTTATATTATTTAAACTGTTTGACCTAATGGCTCAGGCTTCTTGCTATCTAGTTCTGTATCTTTAATTAACCCATTTTTTTAATCTGTAAGTTGCCACGTGGCTTGTGGCTTACTAGTACTTTACATCTTGCTTTTTTTTTTTTTTTTTTTTTGGTTTTTCGAGACAGGGTTTCTCTGTGCAGCTTTGTGCCTCTCCTGGAACTCACTTGGTAGCCCAGGCTGGCCTCGAACTCACAGAGATCCTCCTGGCTCTGCCTCCCGAGTGCTGGGATTAAAGGGGTGCGCCACCACTGCCCGGCACATCTTGCTTCTTATGGTGGCGGCTGGCAGCATCTCCTCACTCAGCCTTCCACTTCCCAGAATTCTCCTCTGTGCTTATCCTGCCTATACTATACTTCCTGCCTGGCTACTGGCCAATCAGTGTTTTATTTATCAATCAATCAGAGCAGCACATTCACAGCAAACAGAAAGACATCCCCAGCAGGGAAGGGGAGGAAAAAGGGGCACTAGTAAAGGAAGTATGGGAAGAGACAGCTAAAATTAAGGGGGATTTGAGGACCAGTATGGAAACCCAATATAGTAGAAGCTTCCTAAAACATATACATATATGTAGGCAATCTAACAAATTGCCAGATAATGGGGGAGACAGTGCTCCAACTGATCATCTCTTGTCACCAAATGAAACCTCCAGTCCTGAGGCTGAATTACATCTAATTGAATTGTTGGCCAAAGGGTGCTATAGAAGCCCCAAAAGAAGGCAGTTGCCAAGACTACAGGCTGTTGTGCAAAAACTGATGGCAATGCCGCATAGCTGAAGGTAACACCTACACAACTCATTGAGCATGGATAAGTCAAACTGTTGCTGATATTCAGCCTACATCCCAATGTTCCAGTGTCTTTGGTACAGGAAGGTACTCTACACACTAGTAAAAGAGAAACATAAACACCAAGCCACTCACAAACCCCTGGATGAAACCCACAAAAAACCTTGCTTGTCCTCCCAGCAAGATATGCTACAGCCATGGTGGCACAAGGCTTGTGGTTACTAAATGAGATCTATGAGATGAAACCCATTCCTGTGTGGTGCTATTTTGTTTGTACTCTAACCAATAAAATTTGCTTGATCAGAGGACAGTGCCAGAAATTAGATTAAACATAGAGGCTAGGGAGTGGTGGCATACACCTTTATTTAATCTCAGCACTTGGGCTCTCTTGCCTTTGCTCCCAGTATTTGGGAAGCACACACACCATTAATACCAGTACTAGGAAAGGTTGAGACAGGAAGTGATATGGCTGGGCACAGAAAGGCATATAAGGCAGGAAGAGACAGAAACTCTCCCCTTTTGGCTGAGGACTCAGGGTCATTCAGTCTGAGGATTCATGGAGACAGGATCTTCCCCTTTCAGCTGAGGAGTTGGTGAGATAAGAAGTGGCTGTGGCTTGCT